AGAGCGTTTCGGGGGAGAACGTGAGCGAGAAGAGCTGCGTCGAAAAATAGTCAGGAAAAGCAGATTTTCTCTATAGTAATAATGATGGATTCTGTGACGATTGTGTTTTCACAAAGGAAAACTCTTGTAGCGCCCCAGTAGTAAAGCCTTTCTGAAGCAACTAAACTAATCATCTGATAAGCGTTCTAATGTATTTTTGCTTCCATTACTTATAAGTAAAAACTTTCGTAGATAGGTTTCACTAAACGAATCGTAGCGTCATGTGATGGCATGTCCTTAAGCTAAAGCGGAAGATGGTGGCCAGTCATTGTGGCAACGGGAGGGCGCTGAGTATCTGAACAACGCTCTGGCAAGCGCGTTCACTTTCAGTGGTAGGATGCCCTATTAGTAGCGATTCGTTTGTTTAACAAGCTAACTGGCAGGCACGCGCTATCCCCCCCCCCCTTGCCTCGCCATCGTCTCCCTATCCAATCCCCTATCCAAGCGACGAGTCACCATTGCTATAACCCACCCACGACTTCTAGAGCCCCCTCGACGTTGCGCCGACACTGCCCCGCCGGCTGCCATCCATGTGTGTGCTTCGACCGTCTCCTAGATAGGAAAAAAGGGAGAAGCTTCTCTGGCGAGTTCTGTGTGGCAGCCAAGCTGACGTAGGTGCCTAGATGTTGACACTTTTCTGTTTTTTGTTTTACCGTTGGCTCTACTTTTTTTTGCCGAAGAAAATTGGTGGAATACAATACGCGAGGTAAAGGAACCTCACGACAACATAGGGAGCAGACGTAAATGGCGCTATTGTCGTGCAGGTTAGATTGAGTGACACAAAGGCAAACCGCTGGAGAAGTATTTACTTGTTATAAATTTATATTATATACACACTGGGTTACCTCGAGTCAGTTAACCAACGGTGTAGAGCACGGCTCATCCGAGAAAACCATAACGTTCAGGTTACACAATAGAAAATCACCAAGTTTAATTCAAATCCTGTAGGGTTGTCTGCACCTGCAGGCTACCTACCTCGGACGATGATCGAGGTCGGCGAAGGCAACCTACTTTTCTCGGAAGCTTTGGACTGAAGGTTAGAAGAGGACTGGATTCAGGGCGGGTTGACTCGTCGTTTCATGGTAAACGATAGCCGATAACACCCTGAACCCCTAATTGATGTCACAGAGCGTTTCGGGGGAGAACGTGAGCGAGAAGAGCTGCGTCGAAAAATAGTCAGGAAAAGCAGATTTTCTCTATAGTAATAATGATGGATTCTGTGACGATTGTGTTTTCACAAAGGAAAACTCTTGTAGCGCCCCAGTAGTAAAGCCTTTCTGAAGCAACTAAACTAATCATCTGATAAGCGTTCTAATGTATTTTTGCTTCCATTACTTATAAGTAAAAACTTTCGTAGATAGGTTTCACTAAACGAATCGTAGCGTCATGTGATGGCATGTCCTTAAGCTAAAGCGGAAGATGGTGGCCAGTCATTGTGGCAACGGGAGGGCGCTGAGTATCTGAACAACGCTCTGGCAAGCGCGTTCACTTTCAGTGGTAGGATGCCCTATTAGTAGCGATTCGTTTGTTTAACAAGCTAACTGGCAGGCACGCGCGTAAGCTGGCACTCCAGCTCCTTTGCAAGCAAGTTTGCTGGCAGGGAAGTAGACAACCAGGGTAAGCAGGCTGACAGTGAACGTCGGTTACGTTCACTTGAGTATATGTGGGTGGTAGTCTGGGTTCCTAGTGGCAATTTCCTATCTACGCTGTCCCAACTTGCACCTGCTATTAGGATGTAGGTGCATCAGCGTCGCAAGGGCCGTTGGTCGTCGAGCAGGTTGGGCGAAAGGAGGCACCGGACAGAACATGGCTATGGTGTCCGGGAAGCAAGCGCCTGCCGCGGCACTCCTTCAATACAGACACGAAAGGACAGACACACATAGGGGAAGGCAGCGAACACGGCACACGGCCAGGCGCTTAGGCTAGGGCCGCCAGGTGGCTCGAGTGGCCATACGGCCAAGGGGGTGATGTTCGTTTGTTCAGGGCTGGGGTGGCTGAGGGAATCGAGACAGGATAGCAGAGGTGGCGAATAGCTCCAGCCGTGTGCGTGTGTGCAAGTGCCTCTGTGAGTCACTAGATGTCTGTATGTGTATGCGTGCCTGCCCAGGGGATACGGCTTGTCGTGGTGGTAATAATAGTAGTAGCGGCAGCAGCAGCAGAGATGGAGACGGCTGGGACTGAAGCTGAGCTGGGGGTTGAAGCTACGCCCCGAGGATAACAGGAGTAGAAGCCTGTTCCGACCCAACGAATGTGCGACATCGACTCTTCACGCGGCCTCTGGCTCTTTCTAGGCCTCTGTCCTTCTCGGTTCGACCATCGTTGGCTCCGGTTGCCCAGATGCCCAAGTCTCGGCCTACATAGGTTTCTCAGTTAGCCCGACCTATCGCTGCCACCAGCAGCGGTCTACGATCTGTACACTTTAAACATACCAAGCTTGGCTAGCATAGTTTGTCTGTCTGTTTGTCGTCTGTCTAGTTACCAAGCTGGTCAATAAACGCATATTTACACAGCCTCGTATAAATCAGCTGCCATACGAAAAACCATGGTTATAGTAATGATCGCTGCAGGACAGCTGCAGTTACCGACTAGCTTTCTTTCTGATGTCGAGGTAACATTGCCATCAAGACGATGTCTAGGTTTCGAATACGTTAGTGTGCTTATTTATTAATGTTATGGTAGCTTATGGCTTATGGCAAGAATTTGTCAACAATATCTTTTCTATCCTCGAACTATATAGGTTCGAACTTCCAGTAAGCCTCGAAAACGTAAGTTATTTCTATTGGATAACGATATGTAAATTGGCTACTTTTGTTCTATCTGAAATTCAAAGAAAAAAGCTGGTTTCCTTTTTCTCTCTAAGGTACCCTGATGCAATGACAAAGGTTCAACATAGTACATAGAAGCAAATATTTTGCCTACTCTATACTTTGTGTAACTTAGTTCGGCAGCTCACTGGCCACCGCGCGTATAACACGAGCTACTGCTTGCGGCCACTAGCTCATATGAGCAGAACAGCAGGCAGGTCGTCGTAGTTGGAAATTGGGCTCAATATGTCGTCGTTCACTCAAGGTGAACTTGCGTAGTGCCGTTGGCGTGAGCCAGGCCTGAGACCTCCTCTCAGCTGAAAGATCTGAGCTGTGCGCGTGTCCCCTGCAGCAGGCGGGCCACGAGCTGAGGGCTAGAGGCACCGCGATTCGTGGTGGGGAGTCTAGTCGAGCTCGATCTTTCTTTCGACTCTGCGTCTCCCGAGGGACACTCTGTAGCTGGAGCGCTAGTCTGAGCTGTGGTGCGTCTCGAGACTGTTATGTAGGCTGCTATGTAGCTTCCTCGTGAGCGACTCCTCCACCAGTACCGCTGGTAACAGCAGCGGCAGTAGCAAGAGCTGTGAGCCCCGTCTAACATTTCTAACTCGGGCAGCAGTAGCAGCAGTAATAGTAGTTACACTCCTATGCCACAACCCCGAAAATCATATACCCATGCCGTGGCCCCCCACGCGTATAGCCTCCGGTCGCTTGCTGCCTGTACTGCCACCACCACAAGGACGACGAGTCCTGCCCGCATATTGGTCTTGAAGAAAAACCCACTAAGAAGAAGGTTTTCCCTTTCCTTGCAACCTCGTTACGGTGAGGGCGTCTAGCAGCCTGGTTGCTACCTTGCTACCTAGCTGGCAGACAAGGCAAGCGAGCTTGGTTGCCATGACGACGTCGGATCGGGTTAACGAGCGGCGGCAGTGGCTGTGCTTTCCGCATCCTACGTTGAACCACCGGCTCCGTCGAACGTTTGCTAGTTCCTTGCACACTTGTTCGCTCAGCCCGTTGCAAGAAAAAAAGCGTTAGCCATGCCTGCTCTGGAATGCTTCGGGCTAGTGGCAGATGTGGGCCTGCTGTAGTGCCTGCTGTGATGACAGCGGCGTCGCTGCCGGGTGGAGTTCGTTAAGACCAACGTCGCGTTCCACCCGCCCGTCTGGCAGCTTTCACCGACGGATTCGCTGTTCGATGTAGGTTGCCTTGCTTCTGCTACAACTGGAGCCGTAACATCTGACTGCTACGCTTATTGACGGGTGACCTGAATACCTCTTACTTCAGTGGGAAATGAAAGCCATGCATCGTATGGTCGCGTCACAACTAAACGACTAGCCAATTAATTATATGGTAGAGATTGAGATGGAGAGTTTTCATAAAATTTTTATTTGTGATGCTTATGAATGTTAACGTAATGAGAAGTACTATAACAATGCACACATTGCACAGCATGTCAACAAGCCCAGTTAGCTCCTTGGTCATAACGATCTTGTAACAGAACTTAAACAAATGGCTTATCCAACGATAAAGATACATTAGAAGGTTAGTGATTTGAAATAGATTATAAAAACGCAGTAGAAAATTATTACTTCGCTTTTTTGCTGCAATGGACGGTCTCCTCTGCCGATAGCCCTAGAAAAGACAGCTGAAGGCCTCATTAGCTTGCGAATTCGATAAATTTTTCACAAAGAAGGACTAACGTATGGAGGATTTAAGGCACCGCCAGAAAATCGACACAGGTTCTGCTACGCATTAAAAAAAATTCTATAAAATCGCCATCCTTCTTCTACGTTAGGATTTCGGGTCGGTGCTACATTTTGGCAAAGCCTTCCGTACTATTATATAGGTTATATTATAGCCGTCATAGTACGGGCGCACATCTTACAAAATGTTCTACAATTGCAGACGCAAATTTTGCGGCTAGAAAACTTCATTTTGAAATTTAAATTCGCATTTTTAACTGTACTCTAGTGTCCTTATTGTCTTTCACTGGATACTCCATGACGGTGTCCGTGCCAGGCCCCATCGTTTCTAATGTCAGTAGCAGAGCCTGCATCTATATTAATTTGTTATCTATTTACATAATAACTGTCTTGAATTTACAAAACGCGAAGCTAGAACTGATTGATCGATTTCATCTATGCATTTTACCCGCCCCAGGGACTCGGCTAAGAAGGACAAATGTTGGGAGCATATTGCACGACAGGTCAACATGCAGATTGGACATGCCAGACAACGGTGGAAAAGCTTACGAGACACATTTACGCGAAAGGTGCGCAAGATAGCCATCATCGAAGCAGCCGGTGGTTACAGTGGAAGCGGCGAAGATCCTTGCCAATGGAAGTACTTTCAGCAGCTCAAGTTTCTCGAACACGTGATTCATACGCATAGGCCGCGGCTACAGCCTGCAAATGGCTCCAATGGTACCACGCAGCCAACCAAAAATCCTCTGGCGTTACCTAACCTTACACTCTCCATCAATGTAAGTAGGATTCTAATTTGCTGATAATGCTACACAAACGTTTCCTTTACAATGGCTGCCATACACAGGACATAAGAACAGCTATCGCGTCCGCACCCATTGTTTATGCAAGCGTTTGAGGGGCTTGGCACAGTTGCTGCTACCTTTGTTTTTTGATATCATGAAACACATTCTGCCGGAAGACTTTGCACGAAAGTCACAGCTCGATCTGTACCGCTTGCATGTTCTCCTATACAGGATACAACGATGCCAACTTGGGGATGGCACAAGATATGGGGGCAAATTCAGTTCTCGCATGCCTATCGGGCTTCCAGTATTAGCACCTAATGCATTTATGATAATTGTTTCTCCGATTGTCAACAAAAAAGCGTCGTGACGAAATACCTAAGAGCAATTCTGTGGCATCAAGCTAATCGTATCTTGATTCGTTGCTTTCATTCTATGTGACGCGCTCGCATGTTGCCATCAATCGCAGCCTCTCGACTGCGACGATGAAGAGGAAGAAGATATTGGACCGCAACGGGCTTGGCCGCTACAGGATGAACGCGAGCTAATTCATTATATGCGCGATTGTCCTCTACTGTGGAACAAATCCGACCTGAACTTTAATAATGATGCCTCAAGAGATATGGCCATTATTCAAATTCATACCAATTTCCAGGAACGGTATACCTGGTCGGAAATTCAAAACAAGATCAATTCGCTCGTCAAGAAGTTCCATGAGGGGGACAACTCGTGGATTCATCAGGAGTCGTTACAATATATTGCCAATACGATCAACGGGGCAGCTGCGGCAGCAGCAGCGGCGGCCGCCGCCGCTGCCGCAGCGGCTGTTGCCGCCGCATCGAAATCTGCTGGAGCAACAACGAACAGCAGCGGAACGAGCTGCAGCAACCATCATGACAGCTCAATGAAGGCTGAGCCTATGGACAGCGATGAGTGAGTACGACGAATGCTACCATATAATAATGCCTGCTTCAAGAAATAGGTAAAATCCTCATAGGGGTCTCTGCTCTAGACACGTCCATATAGCGTGTAGCGTGCGAAGGCGGACTACGCCATACTACGAGGTCGAGTCGGTACGAGTTGTGCGTACGGCTGTTTATCGCAACATGCTTGTTCTAATAATGTTCTTCAAACTATTTGCTGTGTTGTTTTCATTATTTCGTGACGTAAGGTGTTCGCAGGACTGCGGTTCGCTATTACCCCAGGTTGAGATAGACGAAGGCGAAGAGGTGAAATCTGTTACCGTATCAACAACGACAAATGCTAGTGGCTGTCCCACTGTCAAAGTGATCTCGACTTCGCTGTCTTCATGTGTAGATACCGCCCCCAAGACAACTGTAGCCAATGGAGCCCCTTCGGCGGCGAGTCTCGTGCAAGCCGCCCAGGCAAGTCAAACGGCAGCCGCTCTTACCTTGCAGAGCCTTCCGGCAGCTTTTCACAATGGAACGGGTGGCGGGGACGGAAGCCAGTCGGCAGCACCCATCAAGATCATCACTGTTTCGCCCAATGGCACAACACAAAACGCAACTATTGCACTCGGTAAGTACGCTCGGGATCGATATAATTTCGTCGTTCACCTCGTACATAGCAAATTCCCGGGCCATCGAAAGTTAGAAACGTCTCATTCGAACGTCCCATCTCACGTTTGTTTAAGGAAGCATTGGGTAGTAAAACGTTGTTTGTGAATCAGGCCTGCAACCTTCCACGTATGATCATACACGAACGTAGACATGTGTCTTGTGTGGGACCCAGCTGTAAGGTCTGGACCTATGTTTAGATGCTATATATATTGTGCGGTTATTTGTACATGATAACATCTCTCGATATGCACAGCTACTCTGCGGCTTAATCTTTTTGCGGCAGAACAGTAATCTTACTGCGTCCGTCTGTTTCGCTCAGGAGGTGCCACTGGGAACGGCAGCACGATCCTGATTCCATCCGGTGGTCAGAGTCTTCTACAGATGTTACAAGCTGCCAAAGCCGCGACTGGTCAAGAGGTACTTGCCACGCCAAAGGAAAAGAGAGCTGCGTCGATCGAGAAACGTATTGACACATTCACAACGTGGATCAAAGCGTACCTAGCCATGGTTGAGCCAGACGACCTTGATCGTATCGAACTCGAAATTCATGAGCTGATGGTGAAGCACACCAAACGAACCAAGGGTCACCAGTTTAAACCAAAATCGCGTAGCCATAAGGCTAAAAAGGTTGCCGCCGCCGCCGCCGCCGCCGCCGCCGCCGCCGCCGCCGCTGCGCAAGTGGCTCAGGTGGTGCCGACGGAGGCTAACGGGGTCGTGCTTACAAATGGACTTCTCAAGGAGCTTAAACATGCAGCTGCTTTGAAACTGGTCGAGCAGAACCAACATATCGCTCTAGCAGATGTCATCGAATCGTGAAGGGCTGAGAAGATTCGATTCTCTCCGAGTGCGCATTATGATGGTAGGGCGCCAATACGGATGTCTTAATGACTAACAAACAGGTGGAAATATAGTCGCAGTGTAATCTGTAATAATGACGATGGTGTGAGCTCGATGAGAAAAGATAATTGGACAAGAAAAGGACGGATGGGAATTAGATTAAATCGATCCAGGCTCGGAGAGGTGCAATGGAGTTTCTGGCAAAACGAGAGACTTGTTGGCAACTTATGTATCGCAATGTGACGACGATGAAATGTACCTAGACAACTTTGTCGTAGAAAGGATCTTCACGAATAATCAATCACTCCTCTCATTACAGCAAACGTTACGGCGTATTTTAATGACCATTACGTAATTGAAAAATAATACAATAATTAGCTACATTATAACACGCGAACAAAAGGATTAAGGGAAAAAAAAAAAAATCATATATTTTATGAACGAACGGTGTACACGCGTATTTTGATAATTACATTATGAATATTATCATTATCGAACACTCTATTGCTTCAGTCCCTGTACTCTGTGTTATGATCTCCCTATTGCTGATATATATATATATAATTTTTTAATTGAATTATATAAGTTTATATCTTGATCGTTAAGCTTCATTATTTGTTATTGTTTTAAGTAAACAGCTTGCCTTGATTCTTGCACGGGCAGAACTTTTCCGCTTATTTATTGATTTTCTTATTTATGTGGTCAATGGCTGTCGTATGCCATTATTACATAAAATTACACAAGTACGAAGCGAATCTCACTCACTTTTGCCGTTCAGTTTTGTTGCAGTCAAATAGGTAGTTCTGTGACGATGATCCTCTTGCCAAACACCCAAATCCACTGGGTTTGCGGAGTCAGTGCACCCACATATGTATTCTCTGCCTGGCGTTGTCATGCTTTAAGTAAACCTGCCAAAGGATGTCGAATACTCCAAAGAGTGATGACTGACCATATATCAAAAAAGCAATGATCCACAACACCTCAAATATATATATATATATATATATATATAGATATACATATATATATATATCTATACACTTACGAGTGAATATCATTGTCGCGTTATAAATGATGCTGTAAATAAGGATCATACTCAATGGAAGGTCGTCAACAAAGTGAGCTGGTACATGTATTATAACACTAATAATAAACACAAACAAGAATAGTATAATATAATTAAAAAGTTGCTCATTTATCGTCTCGCTATATATATATATATATATATATATATATATATATATATATATATATTGTTATGCTGCAATTACTCTGCACTTGTGCAAAAATAAATTTTTTGATGATCGAGATGAAATCAAATATAATCACTATAATTTTTTTTTTTCTTGATAAAAAAAAAAAAAAAAAAAAAAAAAAAATAAAATTTCATTT